GAGGGTGAAAACGGCCTCCCCAGGTTCCAGAGGCCCTCTGGAGACCAGAAATGGGCCTGTTTCTGGTCTTCCTGAACTTCCGGTAGGCCTGTTTTTCACCCTCCCCGAGCCTCCGTGTGTGCCCTGCACTTACCTGCATCCAAAACAGGCTGCATGGGGACTCCTGGGAGGGGCAGGGTGGGGTGGGCAGGACGGGGCGGGGCGAGGCGAGGCGAGCCAGGAGAGGGATTTGGGGGTTCTCTGAACTGCACAGAATCTTAGCTAGAGGTTCTCCCGAACCGCCAGCAGCCCACCCCTGCACTAACCCGAGAACCCAACTCTGCTTGTTTCCAGACAGATGCAGGAAGCTCAGAGCCTCGTCAAGTTTAATTCTATGTATTAAATGGACGCAATCTTTTTTCCTCGTGATCCAGCATCGTCTTACCAAATTCCTGGCTCTTAAAGTTTGGCTTTTTCTCCAGGAAGTTGTTTCTTGTCATTCAGTCCAACTGACGATTGGGGCGGGGGGGAATGTTCTGCTGCACTTTTAACCTAACCAGAATGTAGTTGAGCCGCTGAAATCATCTGTCACGAATTCAGTGGAGCAGAAAACTAGCAACTCACATTAGGTTCAGGAGCCAAGCAGAGGTTCACCTACGGCATTCTTGCAGAAAATGAGCCATCAAACAAAGATAGAATCCAGGCCCGGTTTCAGAATCAAAAGCCGGAGTTTCCGTAAATCTATGTCGATTAGGAACAGCCAATTAGGCTGAGTTAATATGATCCTATTCAGTCACAAATAGAGCCATTCAAAAGCATGAGTAACAGCTTATTCCTAAGTATATCTTTACTGAGCTGTCTTTGGTGCTCTCTGGGCTTGGTTGTTTTCCCTGCAGACTTTTCATTACCAAACTAGGTAACATCATCAGGCACTCAGGACATCAGTTACCATATTTTTCGGAGTATAAGACACACCTTTTTTCCCCCCTAAAAGGGGATGAAAATTTAGGTGCGTCTTATATACCGAATGTAGCCCCACCCACCCACTGGTCCCCGCCCTTTGGCCTCTGCCTCCCAGCAGTTACCTCCTTGCAAGCAAACAGCAAGAAAAAACAGCTCCTTTCAGCTTCAGTACAGCCTAATTAGCACAAGTTGATCGGCCTCCCGACTCTCAGCTGATTTACTCTCAGCTGTTTTGTGCAGGGCTCTGCCACTTACTGCAAGGAGGAAAATTGCTGGAGCAGGCTGTTTGCTGCAACGAGGCAACATTGCTCAGAGGCAGAGGCAGATTTCTTTTTCTTCTTTTCCTCACCCAAAAAAGGTAGGTCTGTCTTATAGTCCGGTGCGTCTTATACTCCGAAAAATACGGTACTTAGTTTTTGTAATGAAACTTCTGCAAGAAAACCACCAAGCTCAAAGAGCACTAAGCCCCCCCCCAATTTAACCTTGAGCTACAAATATTCTAGTTTTTTTTTTCCCCCAAATGAATATAAAGGGTTATTGCAATCTTAAACTCTCTACAATAATTTGAGCTACTAATGGTCAAAGCAAATTGGTGGTAGGTAATGGAATTTAAGGTGGGCTGGAGTTTGATCTCTTGTGGGTGCAAGGGGACTCAAGATGTAGGATATAAGAAAATTCAAAAATAAAATAGTATGTAGGTATATAGGTTAGAAATGCATATAAGTAAAGATTCAATTTTGCTCAGGCAGGAGGTTGGACTGGATGACCTGTAGGGTCCCTTCCCAGCTCTGCTACTCTGTTAAATTTGTTAGACATTGTTCTGTTTTAAGATAGTTGGAGAAAAGACATGCTGAAAGCATACCAATATGTAACAATGCTGTGTTAGAATAGATCTTCTTTTGTTTGAGACCCCTTAGAAAGAGGCCCACTCTTTAATGCCAAGGCAATAGAGATAAGAAAGAGTCATTCTTGCAAAATATTGAATGGGTAGTTATGGGGAGGTGTTGATAAACAGGTAATTAGAGAAAGAGATGATGTTCTCTCTAAAAGGCGCTTCGGATTAGGCGTGATCGGTCACTGGACCTGATATAGGAGGGGCGTGGAGGGGCGTCGGGATAGGGAACTATAAAATGTAATGCTTTTGAAACTTCAGGTGTGGCTTCAAACTCCTTGTTGAGGTGTCTGCTGGGATACCCCCCCTATTTGGCAAAATTGCTTTTATTGTTTTCTTTTAATAAAATCTGTTTCCACCGACCCAAGTGTTTGCTGGCTGAATTCATGTCCAGCAAAGACCTATGACATATTTGACCGACCCCCCCTCAAATATTCTCTTCTATCTGACTTGCAAGGCGATGTGAATTTTGCACTTTAAGCTAGCTCCCTCTGAATGTGTTCAGCCTGGTAATTCACAGGGCACAGACTGTATACAAGCCAGATGGTCTCCTACAGCACGTCCAGCCAAATGTGTGTTTGTGGCGGAGCATATGCAACGACTCATCGTGACATTTCCTAGGATTCCTCCCCTCTCCCCCCCCTTTTTTTTGCAGAATTAGCAAGAGAGAGCGAGAGAGAGTTGGGGGCTGAGAATATTTCATTCCATTAACAGAATAGCAGAGTTAGAAGGGACCTCGGAGGTCTTCTAGTCCAACCCCCTCCTTAGGCAGGAAACCCTCCACCACTTCAGACAAATGGTTGTCCAACCTCTTCTTAAAAACTTCCAGTGTTGGAGCATTCACAACTTCTGGAGGCCAGTTGTTCCACTGATTCATTGTTCTCACTGTCAGGAAATTTCTCCTTAGTTATAGGTTGCTCCTCTCCTCTCCTTTTTTTTTTTAATTTGATTTATATGCCGCTCTTCTCCGGAGACTCAGGGCGGCTTACAATGTGCTAACAATGCGCTAAGCAATAGCCTTCATACTTTTGTATATTTTATACAAAGTCAGCTTATTGCCCCCACAAACTGGGTCCTCAATTTACCTACCTTAGAAAGGATGGAAGGCTGAGTCAACCTTGAGCCTTGGAGAGATTCGAACCAGCAGTAATTGCAGGCAGCTGGGTTAATAACAGGGTGCTTAGACCACTGTACTATCAAGGCTCTAATCCCTAATCTAACTAATCCCTTGATTAGTTTCCACCCATTGCTTCTTGTCCTGTCCTCAGGTGCTTTGGAGAATAGTTTGACTCCCTCTTCTTTGTGGCAGCCCCTGAGATAGTGGAACACTGCTCATATCATATTAAGAGCCTCAGTGGCACAGTGGTTAGAGTGCAGTACTGCAGGCTACTTCTGCTGATTGCTGGCTGCCTGCAATTTGGTAGTTCGAATCTCACCAGGCTCAAGGTTGACTCAGCCTTCCATCTTTCCGAGGTCAGTAAAATGAGGACCCAAATTGTTTGGGGGAAGAGGCTGACTCTGAAACCTGCTTAGAGCGGGCTGGAGAGCACTGTGAAGCAGTATATAAATCTAAGTGCTATTGCTATTGCTATGTCACCCCTAGTCCTTTTCATTAAACTAGACATACCCAATTCCAGCAACTGTTCCTTTATATGTTTTAGCCTCCAGTCCCAATTGTTATGTTACCTTCCTTCGGAAGGATGGACATGTTCCTGAAGAGGAGTTCTCTTTCATGAGAGAACATGACAATCATCAGGGACCATCAGGGATCCCTTCATAAACACGAGCCTTTCAACCATGATGCTTTGTACTCCCCCTCCCCCCCCGTTTCTGCTAGTCCAGAATTTGCTGCCAAGAAATGCATCTTGTGCCTGGATGAAGCCTTGTTCTAATTCCCAAATGGTGGTTGCATCTTAGGCTTGTTCTTGTATGTGAGAGCTGATGAGCCATCCATAATGGCGGCCTTCTTCTCCTGACTCTGTCAGCAGACACTCAGCCTTTTTGTTCTTAGTTGCGAAGTCATGTCCAACCCATCACAACCCCATGGACAATGTTCCTCCAGACCTTCCTGTCCTCTACCATCCCCTGGAGTCCATTTAAGCTCACGCCGACTGCTTCAGTGACCCCATCCAGCCACCTTCTTCTCTGCCGTCCCCTTCTTCTTTTGCCCTCAATCTTTCCCAGCATTAGGCTCTTCTCCAGGGAGTCCTTCCTTCTCATTAGGTAGCCAAAGTATTTTGAATTTCCTCTTCAGGATCTGGCCTTCTAAAGACAGTCAGGGTTGATCTCCTCTAGGACCGACCGGTTTGATGGCCTTGCAGTCCAAGGGACTCGTAGGAGTCTTCTCCAGCACCAGAGTTCAAAGGCCTCCATTCTTTGGCGCTCAGCCTTCCTTATGGTCCAACTTTCACAGCTGTACATTGCAACTGGGAAAACCATAGCCTTGACTATACGCACTTTTGTTGGCAAGGTGATGTCTCTGCTTTTTAGTATGCTGTCTAACTTTGCCAAAGCTTTCCTCCCCAGGAGCAAAGCGTCTTTTAATTTCTTGCCTGCAGTCCCCATCTGCAGTGATCTTGGAGCCCAGGAAAATAAAATCTGTCACTACCTCCATTTCTTGCCCATTTCTATTTGTCTCAGCCTTAGGGGGCCAATTAATTAACCAAGCCCCCTGCTTCCCTCATCTCAACTTCCAGCTCAAGCATCTTCATCCGTTTTGCCTCCCAAATCTCTCTCTCTCTCTTTTCTCTTCCTAGGAACAAAACCCCACTTCTTAGTGGACAAGGGGAGGGTGATGTTGCAAGCCAGTTCTGCACAAGGAATTGAATCCAGGAGAGAAAAGAGAGGAAGGGGTGAGGGAGGGGTGGTGGTGCTAAGAGGGAATTGCAAGCGTAATTGAATCCATTCAAGAATTAGGAAAATTGTTCCATTCTCATTCAATTCAGGGTAGGTTTCAAAACGGGAGAAAAGAAGAGACTCAGACAAAGGAGGTTTTTCTCAGAATCTACCTTTGTAAAGGCAGTCTAGCTAAGAGGTTTTCTTTTCACTTGCTAAGTTTTTTTTTTCACAAGAGCAAGCCAAAAAAAGAGAAGAAGCTCTTTGTGCTTGGGAAAACTTTAATGAAGTGCCCAAGAAAACGGGCACTTCTGATGCGCGTGAAGGATGTGCTTAGAAAAAAATGCAGTGTTTGGAGAACTTGCCTCCCTGTTGAGAGACCAAGCTCTGGGTGTAGGAATTCCCCATGTATTCCATCAATATTATGTCCAGTTAAAATAATCTGGGGTTGGGGCACACCATTGTAAAAATGCTTTACCCAAACTGCTGCCAGACAAGAGTGGGCAAGATTGGGTTGGCAAGTTATTCTCCAAAGCGCCTGATGGCAGATCCAGAAATAATGGGTGGAAGATCATTAAAGAGAGACTAAGGAGAAGGTTCCTGACAGTAAGAAGCAGTGGTGAAATGCAGCCGGTTCTGTCCGACTTGGGCGAACTGGTAGTGCCGGTGCCAGGAGGCTCCGCCCACCCACCCGGACGTCACCACGTCCCGATTCTGATGCTCTGCGCACACTCCGGTAGCGAAGGTAAGTGGATTTCACCCCTGGTAAGAAGAGTGAAAGAACTTGCCTTGAGAGGTTTTGGTGCTCCATCACTGGAGGATTTTAAGAAGAAATTGGAGAGCCATTTGTCCAGAATGGTACAGGCTGCGTCTCCTGCTTGAGTTGAGGGTTGGACTACTGTGTTTCCCCGAAAATAAGACCCTGTCCTATATTTTTTGTGGACATTTTTTTGCCATGCGCTCAAAAGCCCGATTGGGCTTATTATCAGGAGATGTCTTATTTTGGGGGAAACAGAATAGAAGACCTACAAGGTCCCTTCCAACCCTATTATTATTATTTATTTATTTGTTTATTGATTGATTGATTGATTGATTGGTTCGATTTATATGCCGTCCTTCTCCGGAGACTCAGGGCGGCTTACAATGCGTTAAGCAATAGCCTTCATACTTTTGTATATACCTGCTTAGTAGGGCTTTCGCCCCACTCCCAAGCAGTCTTCTATTTATACAAAGTCAGCTTATTGCCCCCACAATCCGGGTCCTCATTTTACCTACCTCGGAAGGATGGAAGGCTGAGTCAACCTTGAGCCTGGTGAGATTTGAACTTGCAGTAATTGCAGCAGCTGGTGCTACTTAACAGCACTTTAGTCTGCTGCGCCACTAAGGCTATTATTCCACGTTCTATATTCTTATTGCCAACGTCTTTGGCAATAGCTGCCAAACGTCTTTGACCTTCTAGCTGCCTTACTTTCTGGTCCTCACCATCCCTTTGAAACATGTTCAGATGTAATCTGAGACCTCCTTTTCCCAGTTACAGCTATCTGACATGCCAGAGTGAGGAATATGTGATGGATCTTCTGCACTGAGTAAATCCACCTAGTAGAAACAAGAAGGGCCTTCTTCATGGTGGCTTCCTTCCTTGGGGAACAACATGGATATATGACTGGTCCTTACCTTGAGCATCTTCTTTTAACGACCCGTAATCCCTTTCCAGGTGGAGTCTGGACAACCGAATGGAGCTAGCAGAGTGTTTGAATGGCCGGATGCCGTTCCTGTCGCCAATGCGGAGTTTTGTTCAGCAGATAATATTCTCAGTGTGCCCAGAGAGAGAAATATCTGCCTCTACCTAGGATCGAACTCACAAGCCTCCTGACTGTGAGACGAGAGCTGCACCTCTAGGCCATCGCACCACTCACCTTGATACTCTTCCAAAAGACCCTGAAGATATTATTTTTGCCAGCGGGCTTTGGGAATCCCAGGGTGATATAGAGCCCACTGAGTAGTTTGTATCTAAACATTCATTTGCAATCATCCGCTTTAGGCAAATGCATATAAAAATCCATCTATCATATCTGTTCAATGCACCTCCTTTAGTGTTAATAGCACCAGTTGGCAGGACGTGGTTCTTTGCCATCGTTGCAAACAATGCAACTTCAGCAAGTTGTTTCTTTGACTGTTGTCAGCAGTGGGGTAGGGGTATGTTGGGTTTTCCGTTTGGTGTTTTATTCCTTATTCCACGGAGTCACCGTGGATTGGGAGGCCAGATCAATGTCCTTAATAAATAATAAACATGCCTCGGTTCAGAAGGGAAATGCCAGCTTAGCCTGCTTGTTACAAATAACTCAAAGAGACAAACATACCCAACACATTTTCCTCCTCTTTTTTTTTTGCACAACAACCCTGTGAGGTAGGTTGGGCTGAGAGAGAGAGTGACTGGTCTAAAGTCACCTGTCCAGCTTTCCTGCCTATGGCTGAGGCAGAACTAGAACTCGCCATCTCCTGGTGATTGGCCCAAAGTCACTCAGCTGGCTTTCATGCCTAAGGGCGGGACTAGAACTCCCAGTCTCCTGGTGATTGGCCAACTCATCCAGCTGACTTTCATGCCTAAGATTGTACTAGAACTCTCAGTCTCCTGGTGATTGGCTAACTCATCCAGCTGACTTTCATGCCTAAGATTATACTAGAACTCCCAGTCTCCTGGTGATTGGCCAGTCACCCAGCTGGCTTTCATGCCTAAGGCGGGACTAGAACTCCCAGTCTCCTGGTGATTGGCCAACTCATCCAGCTGACTTTCATGCCTGATTGTACTAGAACTCCCAGTCTCCTGGTGATTGGCCAACTCATCCAGCTGACTTTCATGCCTAAGATTGTACTAGAACTCTCAGTCTCCTGGTGATTGGCTAACTCATCCAGCTGACTTTCATGCCTAAGATTATACTAGAACTCCCAGTCTCCTGGTGATTGGCCCAGTCACCCAGCTGGCTTTCATGCCTAAGGCGGGACTAGAACTCCCAGTCTCCTGGTGATTGGCCAACTCATCCAGCTGACTTTCATGCCTGATTGTACTAGAACTCTCAGTCTCCTGGTGATTGGCCCAGTCACCCGGCTGACTTTCATGCCTGAGGCAAGACTAGAACTCCCAGTAACCTGGTGATTGGCCCAGTCACCCAGCTGACTTTCATGCCTAAAGCGGGACTAGAACTCTCAGTCTCCTGGTGATTGGCCCAGTCAGCCGGCTGACTTTCATGCCTAAGGCAGGACTAGAACTTAAATCTCCTGGTGATTGGTCCAAAGTGGCCCACTCAGCTTTCCTGGCTAAGAGACTTGAACTCACGATCTCCTGCTTCCTAGCCTGGTACCTTAACCACTGGACCAAATTAGCTCATTTCATAATCCTCTGAAGTTTGCAGCCCAGATGGGGATGTCTCCAACCTTTGTACCTGGCATCCTTTAGAGGTGGTAAGCATACTGATTATCCCAGAATATTTATTACCAGCTTGTTGTTCATGGACACGGTTACTCCAATGCACTCGGGAGCCACCAGGTGGAAAAAGTGTGAATTAACAAAGCCTTTCGTAGAATCAAAAAGACAACAAGATAGCAAGTCTGGTTGGGAGCCATTGCTTTCTATTATTCCAGGCACGGACAGCATAAACGTCTGTCCTATGCATGTGTGAAGCAATAAACTACTGTTCAAGGATGTTGGGAAGTTGAGACCCTGGAAAGTGTCTCAACTTCCCAGTTTTGAGACACATGTCTCAACTCTGCATGCCACCTCTGGTACATGTGCCAGAGGTTCGCCATCACAGGTATAGGGCAGTGGTGAAATGTAAAATTTGTTACTACCGGTTCTGTGGGTGTGGCTTGGTGGGGGTTAATGTGACTGGGTGGGCATGGCCAACTTAAAAAAAAAAACTTTTAAAAGCATTTTCGGCCGAAGAAGTTGTAAAACAAATGCTTTTAAAAGGCTCTGACGATCCCAGCTGAGTTGCCTGATCGTCAGAGGCTTTTTTTTTTCTTTTAAAAGCATTTTTTCTGGCCGAAAAGGTTGCAGAAAAAATGCTTTTAAAAGCCTCTGATGACCCCAGCTGACCCGCGCGATCATCAGAGGCTTTTTTTTTAAACTTTTAAAAGCATTTTTTTCGGCTGAAGAGGTTGTAGAAAAAATGCTTTTAAAAGTTAAAAAAAGAGCCTCTGATGATTGCGTGGCTCAGCTGGGCATGGGGGGGGGGGCGCAGGGATTTTTGCTACCGGCTCTCCGAACCACCCACCGCCATTGCTACCGGATCGAGCGATCCAGTCCGAACCGGGAGCATTTCACCCCTGGCATAGGGCCTCCTACTTGAACTTGAACTTGAACTGGGGGTTGGACTGGAAGACCTCTAAGTCTCTTTCCCACACTATTTTCCTACGTTCTAGTCTAGAATTGAAGTTAACGCTGCCAAGGGTTGAGAAACTCTGGGCTAGATGGAATAAGGACAAAATGTCCTGAAACAGAAACTGTTTGATGGCCGTTTTCTCTCTCTCTCTCTCTCTCTCTCTTTTTCTATCTCAAGAGTTTTGATTTACAAACAGGGCTGGCTGAAAGGCAGCCTCTGCCCGAAAAACAAACGTCAAGAAGGATTTGTAGCACATTTTATGGGCCTGAGGTACAATCCCTGCCACACACCCACAGCCTCCCGTTCAGCTTGGATTGCACGGAAACCTAAGGGAAATGAAAACAAACTTGCCAGGCGCCGGCCAAGAAAAAAAGAAAATATTCATAAACCAAGCTACTATTTATCTTAGTTTTGGCAGAAGAGCAGTACATGGGGAAGGGATGTGTGTTTTAAAAAGTTAATGAGGAGGTACAAAATCTTTTTTTATTTGCTGGACAAGTGCACGCAGGTGGAGAGGCTGAGGGACCTGCCCTTTCACGTCACCTGTCGTGAAAGGGCTGGAATTTAAGGACGGAGGCCAAAGGGGAACAGCTTCCTGAGTATGGCTGCTGGTCATCCATTTTCATGTCAGCTCAGCCGGACAGTTCCTCATCCTTCACCAGAACAGGAACATGCTCCCCGCTTTCACACAACAAGGAATACACAGCACGGATCGCCGAAGGTCTAGAACTTTCTGGAAGGCGGCCGGGTTCTAGAAGGGGAAGGAGTTCCGTTTCCATAGCCTGCGTAGAGGACGACGTTCAGCGTTGGAAAAGATGTAATAGCAATAGCACTTAGATGTATATTCTGCCCCATATTCTGAAAGAGTGCTTTTAAAGCCCTCTCTAAGCGGTTTAGAGTCAGCCTCTTGACCCCAACAATCTGGATCCTCATTTTACTTACCTCAGAAGGATGGAAGGCTGAGTCAACCTTGAGCCGGTCAGGATCGAACTCCTGACAGTGAGCACTCAGTTAGCCTGCAATGCTGCATTCTAACCATTGCGCTACCAGGGCTTTTAACAGCCTGCTAAGTGCTGATAAACCAACTCTATTGTCTAAACCAGAGTTTCTCAACCTCAGCAACCTCCAGATGTGTGAACTTCAACTGCCAAAATTCAATGGGCTAGCAGGGAGCTCTTGTTCTCCCTCACCTTCATAAAGTCCAGCAGGATTCAGAGATAGAATAGACTAGAATAACAGAAGTTGGAAGGGACCTTGGAGGTCTTCTAGTCCAACCCCCTGCTGAGGCAGGAAACCCTATACCATTTCAGACAAATGATTGTCCAATCTTCCAACGTTGGAGAATTCACAACTTATGGAGGCAAGTTGTTCCACTGGTTAGAGGAAGATTCTCAGCTGGAGTTCCCATCCTGGTGAACCCACTGTCCTTAAAAGTAATAGCACTAGCACTTAAGACATAACAGAGCCCTGGTGGCGCAGCAGACTAAAGCACTGTTATTAACACCAGCTGCCTGCAATTACTGCAAGTTCAAATCTCACCAGGCTCAAGGTTGACTCAGCCTTCCATCCTTTCAAAGGTAGGTAAAATGAGGACCCAGTTTGTGGGGGCAATAAGCTGACTTTGTATAAATATACAAAAGTATGAAGGCTATTGCTTAGCGCATTGTAAGCCGCCCTGAGTCTCCGGAGAAGGGCGGCATATAAATCAAATTAAAATTTAAAAAAATTAAATTAAAAATATTCAGCCTCACAGTGCTTCACAGCCCTCTCTAAGCAGTTTACAGAGTCAGCCTCTTGCCCCCAACAATCTGGGTCCTCATTTTATCCACCTCGGAAGGATGGAAGGCTGAGTCAACCTTGAGCCGGTCAAGCTACCACATCTCTTCTCTAACTTGGCTCTAGAATCAGGAATGGTCAGCCTGGGCAAAATAAAGAGAGGTGGGAGCAAAATTACCGTCTGGATCTGAAGTTTCTGGTCCAGCATCGCCACCTGCAGTTTTAAAGCCTCCATCTCCTTCAACTCATCCAAGCTGGAGTAAAAAAGAAGTCGGGGAGGCCCTGGTAAATCCGGATCCGAACAGGTTTGATCTCCAAGGGAAGAGTGACAGAAGCCCATAGAATCATGGTCATTGTCCTCCTTGTCATTCATGCAGAGCGAGGCAAACTCTTCATGGGACACCAAAGCTGCCGGAGGAAGGAAAAGCACCCTTATTACAATATTATTACAATATACAATTATTACAATTCAGAAGTTGTGGGAGCTTCATCCCTGGAAGCTTTCAAGAAGAGACTGGGCTGCCATCTGTCAGAAATGGTGTAGGATCTCCTGCTTGGACTAGATGACCTCCCTTCCAGCACTGTTAATCTGTCTGTTTGTCAGGTTTCGATATAGTCTCAAATAAAATAAATTGCATTTCCAAACAGATAGTCTTTGAAGAAATCTTTCATTTTATTTAGCATGACAATCTGGCCCCGATCGTGGTGTAGCCAACTCTGACTTCCTGCCCCCACACCCTCCCTTTCCGTTCCCCAAATCTCTGCGTCTCATTCGCCTTCTTCCAAATCACTCTCTCCATATCTACTACTTAAGTTCCCAGGAATGTCCCCCCTCCCTCTCATCTCCTAGGGGATATTATCTTCAAAGAAAATAAGTAGGTGAAATGTCAAGCGTCCTCTTGCCAGCTGCCCCCTCTTCTCCTTCTTATGTCAGCACTAGAGTAAATGCAGGCTGACACTGTTATATATCTAGCACCAAAAAGACTGACATTAGAAGAAGAGGCTAAGTCTCACTACAGGTAGTCCTCAAGTTACAACAGTTCATTTAATGACCGTTCAAAGTTACCACGGCACTGAAAAAAGTGACTGATATAAGAATTCTTTATTGGACAAGTGTGATTGGACACACAAGGAATTTGTCTTCAGTGCCTAAGCTCTCAGTGTACATAAAAGCTATAAGTGATAAATCATGACCATAGTCATCATAAATACATTCATCATGAATCATAATTATTAATTATGGATAAGTACATCTTTTAGTTCTAATGATGCCCTTGAGTAGTAACTCTCACCTTCTCGCATCTGGTCTACTTTGCCGAGTTGTTGCTCTACGACCTCTTGTAGGGCCTGCAAAGTCACAAGGCTTTCGTATTCTCTGTCCCAGGTTGGGTTTTCTCCAAGTGCCCCTGAGAAGAAAGACTGCAGGTAAGACAACATCGCTCGGGACCCAACGCTAAAAACATATGAAGAACGACTGCAGGATTTGGGTTTGGCTAGTCTAAAGAAAAGAAGAATTAGGGGTGACACGATAGCAGTACTTCAGTATTTGAGAGGCTGCCACAAAGAAGAGGGGGTCAAATTATTCTACAAAGCACTAGAGGGCAGGACAAAAAAAAAAAGAGAGACAGAAGCAATCTGGAATTAAGGAGAAGCTTCCTAACAGTGAGGACAATTAACCAGTGAAACTGCTTGCCTCAGAAGTTGTGGCTGCTTCATCACTGGGTATTTTAAAGAAGAGATTGACCAGTCACTTGTCTGAAATGGCATAGGGCCTCCTGGTTGAGCAGGGGGCTGGACTAGAAGACCTCCAAGGCAGGGGTGAAATCCAGCAGGTTCTGGAGAACCAGTAGCGGAAATTTTGAGTAGTTTGGAGAACCGGCAAATGCCACCTCTGGCTGGCCCCAAAGTGGGGTGGGAATGGAGATTTTTGTAATATCCTTCCCCGCCCCCGGGAGTAGGGAGGGAATGGGGATTTTGCAGTGTTCTTCCCCTGGAGTGGGGTGTGAATGGAGATTTTGCAGTATCCTTCCCCTGCCACGCCCACCAAGCCACACCATGCCCACCAAACCACGCCCACAGAACCGGTAGTAAAAAAATTTGGATTTCACCACTGTTCCAAGGTCCTGTCCTGTCCTATTCTATTCTATCCTATCTTATCCTATTTTCCCTTCCCTTCCCTTCCCTTCCCTTCCCTTCCCTTCCCTATGCTATGCTATGCTATGCTATGCTATGCTATGCTAATCCCATTCCCTTTTGAGGAATTCTGGGAGTTGAAGTCCACAGGTCTTGAAGTTGACAAGGTGGCTTTAAACAAAGATCCAATGACTGCAGTGTTCCTAGACTCCCTTGCAAATCCGGTGGGCGTGAAGAAATTGGCTCAGTGGCCTCTTCTCACCTGGGCTTTCAGCTTCCATGTGCTGAGTGATGAGCAAGTGAAGGTCACGTAGATGCACCAACTCCTGCTTTACCTCCGCTGGGGTAAAGGCTGGCGTAGGAGAGGAGAACTGACCATCTGCTTAAGGAAAGGGGACAATACCGTGCACTGATGATGTTACCAATTTGGTAACGAAACGTCCACAAGAAAACTAACAAGCTCAGAGAGGACCAAGGACCCCAGAGGACTCATCCTCCTCTCTACAAACCCCACCTAGCATCTGATGATGTTACCTAGTTTGGTAATGAAACGTCCACAAGAAAACTATCAAGCTCAGAGAGGACCAAAGACCCCCCAGTCTTCATCCTCCTCTCTGCAAACCCCACTCCCTTCTAACACTGATGATGTTACCTACTTGGGTAATGAAATGCAACAAAACCGCCAAGCTCAGAGAGCACCAAGTACCCCACAGTCTTCCTCCACCTCCTCTCTACAAACCCCACCTAGCACTGATGATGTTACCTAATTTGGTAATGAAATGTCTGCGAGAGAACTATCAAGCTCAGAGAGCACCAAGGACCCCACAGTTGTCTCCTTCTCCTTCTCCCCTTTATTTCTACAGCAGTTTTTGCAAGTTGAGGTTCTCCAGATGTATCAAGACACCAAGTCCGAGAATTCCCATCTGCCTGGGGAATATATTTCACATATAATGTGGGTCACAGATGAAAGCTATTCCATATTAAAGTTTATATTGCTTAGAATCAAAATGGAGATTGACGTGCAAAATCAATAAAATTGGAACAGCCAAAGAATTTTGGAGGATGATATGCAAATGGGTATCAGAAATAATAGGAGATACCATTGAATTAGAACCAAAAATATTTCTCCTGGGAATTCTGAAGACAGAATATGCAAGAAAGAAGAAATATCTCATTACACATATAATAACAGCAGCGAGAATCTCCTTTGCTCAACATTGGAAGGAGAAAAAATTGCCATCTGAAGAGCACGTAATTAGAAAAGTGCTGGAATGTGCCGAAATGAACAAACTGACGTTAGAAATCAACGACAGAGAGGAAACTGAGTATTACAGTGTATGTGGTATGAGTGGTTGAGGAAAAGAAAAGCGAAGTGAAGCTCGAGAGAGCTAAAAATTTAAATGGATGATTAATTAAATGAGTACATGGATATGAGTCATACTATCGGTAGTAGGAAATAAAAGGGAGAAAAGATGTAATTTTATGTAAATATATGTAATACTATATATCAAGGTTTATAAAAGTAAGAAATACTAAGAAATACTTAGTTTATCTCTAAACTAAGACAATGAACTAATACTATGTAAAGAACAATGTAAATATTATGAAGGTATATCTGCATATGTATACTGACACCATGAAACCAGAAACGGAGGAATTGTACTATAATTCTTATACAATAAAAATTAAAAAAAAAAAATGGAACAGTTTTGGGAAGCCAAAGGAGTTGGAATGGAGTTAACAACCCCGGTCAAAGCCCTAGTCGTACCTGCAGATACATTTTTCTTCTTCTGCAAAAGAACCAAATTAGCAAAAGGATACAGTTGCTTGCAATTTCTCTAAAAACTGGCTCTTGGTGACAGCTGCCTCGGGGGCTGTTTTCAAATCCTGGCACTTCTCCAACAACCTTTGTGTCAAGAAGCAGAAGAGTGGGAAATAATAAGCCAAAAATTCCCCCCTGGGATATGCTCCAATCTTTAGACTGGCTTGTTACTGCCTGAAGAAGAGATATTCTTGCCAGTTTGCAGAATCGTATATTTTGAAGACGTTCTTAGGGATTTCTAGTTCTGTGCAGTGCAAGATCTCTTAGACCAGGGTTTTTTCCCAACCTTGGCTGCTTTAAGACGTGTGGACTTCGAGTCCCCAGAATTCTCCACCCAGCACTGGGAATTCTGGGAGTTGAACTTCACATGTCTTAAAGTTGCTAAGGTTCTTCTTTTTTGTAATTATCCCTTAACTATACCCAGAAGGAAGAGTTCTGGCGTCATATCTATCGTCTTGTTTAACATCTCTTCTAGCCACTGTTTTATTTGGCACCAAAAGTCCTTGGCTTTCGGGCACCCCCACCACATATGATAATAAGTGCCTAATGTTGCTTTACATTTCCAACATTTCGGTGAGCAATTTTTACACATCTTGGACAGTCTTGTGGGTGGGTAATGCCACCTGTAAAACATCTTGTATTGATTTTCTTGACAGCTTTAAAGCATGTAGACGTAGAATATAGAGCAGTGATGGTGAACCTTTTCGACACCGAGTGCCCAAACCAAAACGCGTGTGTATGTGCACGCACCAGAATGCCGGAAACCTGCAGGCCAGCTGGCTGCTGCATGCATACCTGGTTTTTTGGCCATTTTTTGGGGGGGAGGGCTATTTTCTGGCTGTTTTTGGGGCTGTTTTCAGCCTGTTTTTGCGCCATTTTCAGGCTGTTTTCCGGGCCAGTTTCAGGCTGTTTTTGGCCCGAAAAACAGCCTGTTTCTTTGCCGTTTTTTTGGGCCATTTTCAGACCAATTTTGGGGCCTTGTTCGGGACATTTTCCAGGCCATTTTTGGGTCGTTTTTCAGAAACCAGAAGAGCAGCTGGTGACGGCACGTGTGCCCACAGAGAGGGCTCTCTGTGCCACCTCTGACATGCATGCCATAGGTTCGCCTTCACGGACATAGAGTAATGCAGTTGGAAGGGACTTCGGAGATCTTCTAGTCCGGTGATGGCTAACCTTTTCCAGACCGAGTGCTGATGATGCGCTGATGATGTTAAACTCTCATTAAAATAATGGAAAACACATACATAGTGCGGGAAGGTTTGGGAATGGTGATATTGGAGGATTAAACTTTTTTTTTAACAGAATAACAGAGTTGGAAGGGACTTTAGAGTCCTTCTAGTCCAACCCTTCCTCAAGCAAGAAACTTTATACCAGTGATGACTAATCTTTTCCGGACCGAGTGCCAAAGCCTGAACTCCCAAAATGCAATGCATGCACGGCAGTGGTGAAATCTGAACCGGTTTACTACCGGTTCGCTGGCTGCGTATGTGCAGTGCGCACCGTGCGCCAAATGCGAGGTGCATGCGTGCAATGCACGCCAAAAGGAGGCATGTGGTAAGTAGAACAGCACGCGAGGGGGGAGCATCAGCTGTGGCGCGCAAACTTTTTTTTTACTTTTAAAAGCATTGCTTTTAAAAGTATAAAAAAAAAGCCTCTGACGATCATGCTGCTCAGCTGGGATCGTCAGAGGCTTTTTTTTTATCTTTTAAAAGCATTTTTACTACAACCTCTTCGGCCAAGGAGGTTGTAAAAAAAATGCTTTTAAAAAGCTCTGACAATCAGGCAATTGTGCTGGGATCATTATTCCATTCCATACATTTCTTATATATATATTTTGTACTTCTAATTTTCTCCCGATAGTTATTATTCTTTATTTCTAGCCTTAAGCCATTTACACCATTTATTCCATATTCTATAATAATCTGTCTCTTCTTTTTCTTTAATTTCTTTTGTTAATCTGTCCATCTCAGCACATTCTAAAATTTATCTATCAATTCTTCCTCAGTTGGAGTTCTTTCTAGATCTTTCTTTAATGATCTTCCACCTGTGGCTTCTTTTCCTGCCCTCAGGCACTCAGAGAATAGGTCGATTTCCTCTCCTCTGTGACAGCCCCTCAAGTACTGGAAGATTGCTATCCTATCACCCCTGGTATTTATTTAAGATGTGTAGATTGACTCCGGGTCAAAGCCAAAAGACTGGCTACGTGGCTGTCTGGATAAGGTTCCTTCACACCTCTGAAGGCCCCAGAATGAAGGTCACACAATCACTTTTGAATCCTACTTCCATTCTGCAAACTCACCCAATCTGGGTTATCCAACTCAGAAAGGCCCTAAAATTTCTCCCACCTTTCCTAGCGACTTGCGGGTTAGTCTAATTCGGATAAGCTTACCTGAAATACTTGGAGAAAGCTTTCTGATACGGAAGGGGCAGTTTCAGCGAAGACCTGCCAAAAAAAAAAAAAAAAAAAATTGCTTGGCATTATCATCCTTGGTAAATGCACAACCAGGAGTAGGATTCAGCCGGTTCGGGAAAACCGGGTGTTAATTTTGATCTGGTTCACCGAACCGGTTGTTCCAAGGACTGGCTGACCCTGGCCATCCCTCCCTTCCCCTCCCCGGAGTCTTCACGTGGCCTATTTTGGATGCCAAGTAAGCCTGCACGGAGGCTCTGGGAGGGCGAAAAACGAGCCTACCAGAAGTCCAGAAATGGGCCTGTTTCCGGCCACTGGAGGGCCTCCGTTGCCTTGGGAAGGCCGTTTTCATCCTCCTGGAGGCTCGAGGAAAGCCTCCAGAGCCTGGGGAAGGTGAAAAATGGGCCTACCGTAAGTACCGTAAGTCCAGAAATAGGCCTGTTTCCGGCCTCCAAAGGGACTCCAGTGCCCAGGGGGAGGCCATTTTTGCCCTCCTGGAGGCTCAAGGAAAGCCTCCGGAGCCTGGGGAGGGCGAAAACGCCTCCCCCCCATGGTGCAGGAGGCCGAGTAGGCCACACCCCCATGACCACGCCCACCCAGCAACTAGGCAGCGAACCGGTTGCTGAAATTTTTGAATTCCACCCCTATACCCCCCAATATTGGAAACCAGGATAAATCTCAGCTCATTTTTGGATTGAATTTCGGAAAAGTCAGGTAAGCAAACAGCCATAAGTCACCTCTCTTCTGCAATTCTGGCGTGATTATTACACAGTTTTGAGATCGTTCTCTTCGCCCTCAACTAGGAAAACAATTTTGATCAGTTTCTTTATTCAAATTAGTGCCTTCAGGGAGTTCCAAAAATTCAACAGGCAAAATTCAACTAGCAACCTGCAAGCATTTTTATTTTATTTTCCTTTCCACTTCCTTTCCTTTCCTTTCCTATTTTGGCATATAACTCAAGGCAGTGAAGATATCAAATGAAGAAAGAGCCTTGGTAGTACAGTGGTCTAAAGCACCCTGTTATTAAGACCAGCTGCCTGCAATTACTGCAGGTTCGAATCTCGCCAAGGCTCAAGGTTGACTCAGCCTTCCATCCTTTCTAAGGTGGGTAAAATGAGGACCCAGTTTGTGGGGGCAATAAGCTGACTTTGTATAAATATACAAAAGGATGAAGGCTATTGCTTAACGCACTGTAAGCCGCCCTGAGTCTCTGGAGAAGGGCGGCATATAAATCAAATTAAAAAAAAAAAAATACTTCTTCCTTCTGCTACTTTCCCCACGACAACAACCCTGTGAGGTGTTGGACTGAGAGAGAATGACTGGCTGACTGGACCAAAGTCCCCCAGTCAGCTTTCATGCCAAAGGTGGGACTAGAACTCCCAGTCTCCTAGGGATTGACTTAAACTCACCTAGCCAGCTTTCATGCCAAAGGTGGGACTAGAACTCCCAGTCTCCTGGTGATTGGCTCAAAGTCACCCAGTTGGTTTTCATGGCTAATGCGGGTCTTGAACTCACGGTCTTCTGCTTTCTAGCCTGGTGCCTTAACCACAAGACCAAACCGCAGTTTGGATGCAAGGGTTTTCAACCAGGGATTTTGGGATTTTTGCCTTTCAGATACTGCATTCCTGCTCCTATTCGCCCCAGCCCAGTCGATGGAGCCAAAGTTTATGGAAGCCCCAGATAATTCTCATATGGAAGGGCATAAATTGCGTGGCAAATTTAGCTCGCAAAATTGTTTTGGAAGCTTGAGAATGTGGCTGGCCTCCTCTACTTGGCAGAAGGCATCGATGTGTTTTATCCAAACAGACTTTTAAATCATCTGCTCTGTTCATGGATGCTTTGGTTTTTTGTAAGAGGAAAAAACCTCAAGTCGTAAAACATTTGTGCTACTATTTATACCTAGAGGATAAGGGCTGTTAGGTGGCATAGCATCGGCCTCATGAGTAGGGATGTGGTGGCTCAGTGGCTTCAATGCTGAGCTTGTTGATCGAAAGGCCGGCAGTTCGGCGGTTCGAATCCCTAGTGCCGCGTAACGGAGTGAGTTCCCGTTACTTGTCCCAGCTTCTGCCAACCTAGCAGTTCGAAAGCATGTAAAAAATGCAAGCAGAAAAATAGGGACCACCTTTGGTGGGAAGGTAACAGCGTTCCGTGCGCCTTTGGTGTTGAGTCATGCATATTGCCCTCAACCATCTGGGTCTTCATTTTATGCTCCTTCTTCCTCCTATTTTCCCCCACCATGCAAACCCTGTGAGGTAGGATTGGGCTGAAATTGACTAGCCGAATTGACCCAGTTAGTTTTCAAAGCCAAAAGTGGACCTGAACTCACAATATCGTGGCTTCTAGCCTGCTGCCTTAACCAGGAGACCAAACTGGAGTCTCAAAGAAGACCAAAGAAGTCAATAAGGCTCCAACTGGTGCAGAATGCGGCCGCGCGGGGGATTATGGGAGCGAGGGGTTGCTCCCATGTGACACCTCTCCTGCGTGAGCTGCATTGGCTTCCAGTGGTCTTCCGGGTGCGCTTCAAGGTGTTGGTTACCACCTTTAAATCGCTCCATGGCATAGGACCTGGGTATTTGCGGGACCGCCTTCTGCCGCCGATAGCCTCCCACCGACCAGTACGCTCCCACAGAGAGGGACTCCTCAGGGTGCCGTCGGCCAGGCAATGTCGGCTGGCGACCCCCAGGGGGAGGGCCTTCTCTGTGACAGCCCCCGCCCTCTGGAACGATTTGCCCCCAGAGATAAGAAGGATATCGGATCTCCGGGTCTTTCGCCGTGCCCTGAAAACTCTTCTTTTCCAGCAAGCAGGGCTGGCGTGAACCCCGCCCCCCTTTTTTAGTTTTTAATTGTTTTAATTGTTTAGTTTTAATTTGTTAATGGGTTTTAATTCGCATTGTTTTATTTCGGGCCAAAGTATATAATTCTTTTAATTAATTTTAAATTTTGTATTGTTATGTATTTTAGTTCTGGCTGTGCACCGCCCTGAGTCCACTAGGAGAAGGGCGGTATATAAATTGAATAAAATAAATAAATAAATAAATAAATAAATAAATAATAAATAAATAAATATAGATTGAAATAAGAGACAGGGATAGTTTGACTGCTATTTTCAGCAAACAATGCCAGGTTCAGCAAACGAAAATGCTGCAATAGAGGGAACTCAGCCAGTCTGTTGCACTCACAAAACAGAAGCTATGGATCACTGCCTATCCAGCCCGTGCTCGGTCAGGTCCAAAGGAAAAGCAAATCTGTAGCTGGAGGCAAATTTTTGGAGATAGGATGCAGAGTGGATTTGATCAGGATTTAAATCACTAGTAAAAAGGCTTCATTTAAATTATAATTTTTAAAGAGCAATTGTCATCTCCGTCCCACAGCGGCTCCCCCTCTGACCGGCTGTCGACTCACCGACAGTCCCAATATTGCAAAATATACAGCCTCCTGCTACAGAACTAAGCTCCATTTCACGATAAATAAACTAAATTATTAGATAAAGGGAATCCAGCCAATCGTCAGTGTAAGAGGTTAATCCAGGCTGTAATTCTGCTGTAAGCACATCCTGCAGAAAGGATTGTTTTCTTATTTACTCAAGTAAAGGTAAAGGTTCCCCTCGCACATATGTGCTAGTCGTTTCTGACTCTAGGGGGCGGTGCTCATCTCCGTTTCAAAGCCGAAGAGCCAGCGCTGTCCGAAGACGTCTCCATGGTCACGTGGCCGGCAGGACTCAACGCCAAAGGCGCACAGAACGCTGTTCCCTTCCCACCAAAGGTGGTCCCTATTTTTCTACTTGCGTTTTTTTTAACGTGCTTTCGAACTGCTAGGTTGGCAGAAGCTGGGACAAGTCATGGGAGCTCACCCCGTTAGGCGGCGCTAGGGATTCGAACCGCCGAACGGCCGACCTTTCGATCGACACGCTCAGCGTCTTAAACACTGAGCCACCGCGTCCCCATAACTAAATTATTAATGCCTCTTAAATACAAAACTACCTTTAGATTTTTTTTTACTCCAAAAGCATTTTATTAAAATAAATTTGATAAAAATAAAAAAAAAATCCGATTTAAATAAAAAAAATCTGATTTAAATGAAAAAAAAAAATCCGACTTAAATTTAAAAAAAATTCCAATTTAAATGGAAAAAAAAAAATCATCGATTTTTAGCCACCCTGGTAGGATGGGAGCCCACCTACCCATTTTTTTGAAGAGTGGAAACTGGAAGCTTTGTTCCTTTTCTCGGTGGGTCTGTTCTTGAAGGAGACGGCCCATCAGCTAAAGCCTCCAGATCAGGATCTACCTCTGGGACTTGAAGGCCTCTTCCTGCAAAATCTCCTCCATCAGCAAACCAAGATGGTGTCGTTGTGTGACATGGACCTTTGGGACAGCCCAATCGCAAGCCGGGTTCTGCAGCAGCAACATTGACCTTTTCGCGACTGTCTTTGGCTGCTGTTTTGGCGCACGGTTTCAACTTTGGAGAAGCAACAACCCCCGCTGGGGACAACAACTTCTTCCCAGCCGTTTTGGATGTTCTGGCGCTCCGTCCAGCTGGTATTTTCACCGGTGGCCTTTTCACCGTCACATCCGTTTTGTAGGGAGCCTTCAACATATAGGCTGTGGGTTTTTTGGATGCCGCCAGCTTTCTGCTCACGGGAGACATCTGGGTGGTCTTGGGGACCTTGTCCTTAGGATGACGTGAAGGTTGTTCCAAAGCAGCCTGCTGGCTCACCGGCTTCTTACTTGAAGATGCGGAGACTTTAATGGTCTCACATGGCACTTGGTGGAATTTTGACCGGACTCTTAATGCTTTCTCCAAGGCTTTGTTAAGCAGTTCCAGGTCCTTAAGCTCCTCCGCTGAAGGCTCTGATGTTTCTACAAGTGAAGGAAGCAAGTCAAAATGGATCAAATTATATCAGTGTTTCCCAATCTTGAGAACTTTATGATCGTGTGGACTTCAACTCCCAGAATTCCCCGGCCAGCCATGCTGCCTTGCAACCTAGGAACCTGTTTTCTATGGATTCACAGCATATATTTTTTTTTGTCATTTAATGACCACCATAATCCCTTGCGGGATGGAGTCTGGGCAACTGAATGGAGCTGAATGTTTACTGGCCGGATGCCCTTCTTGTCGCCAATGCGGAGTTCACAGCAGATGTAGTCTTTTTTTTAAAATTTATTTTCCATTTTTTCCAATTTACATAACAATAAACATTTTTTAACAGTACCGTGTCATGTGTCTCTTACAGTTATTTACATTTATTTCTATACATTTTTGTTTTTCTGTTCTAACCACTTATACCACTTATCCCACACCTCATAAAATTCTGTTTCTTCCTTGCCTTTCATTTCTAACGTGAGCTTATACATCTCGGTACATTCTAATATCTTATGTATAATCATCTCATTGGCTGGTATATTTTCAAGTTTCCAACAGCGAGCATAAACAATTCATGCTGCTGTTACTATGTGAAAAATGATATATTGGAGTTGCTTCTTTATCCTTTGATTAATTATTCCTAATAAAAATAATTCAGCTTTAAATTCAGTTTGTTCTCCTGTTAGCATCTCCTTATCTGTTCCCAATATTTCTTTGCTTTGGGGCATTGCCACCACATGTGATAAAATGTTCCATCCTTATATTTACACTTCCAGCAGTCCGGTTTCATAATTGTGTACATTTTGGCCAATCTCGCCGGTGTTAAATGCCACCTATAAAACATTTTGTACTGATTTTCTTTATATGCAGTCGACAATGTTAATTTAGTTTTTGTTCCATACTTTTTCCCATTCTTCTAAATTTATATTACGGCCTACGTTTTGTGCCCATGCTATTGTTGGACCTTTCACTATTTCTTCTTCCATTTCTACCTCTAATAAGTATTTATATGCTTTTGTTATGAATTTTTCTTCTTTGCCTGACAATATTCTATCCAGTTGTTGTGGTAGCCCTTGAATTCCATATTCTTCCATATCTTTTCTATATCTCATGTATTCTCATTGTGCCCAGAGAGAGAAATATCTACCTCTACCTATGTGAGAAATAAAGAAATTAGGGTTATTCCTGTAAAACAATATAGCCTAAGTTACTCCATTTTAAAATCATGTTAAGGCCTTATTTTACTCTGTATAACCTGAGTATATAATTTAGCTGACAGTTTAAGGAGTGTGAGAACAGGATGTGTGGTTCCTGTGTTTTTAGAGGAAGTTGTGTTCTTGAGATGTCCAGGTCGGCTTGACCTCGTTAAGAAAGGGAAGTGCGTATATGCTGATATTACTTGTTATGCTGATATACACGTGTAAGCAATATTTTTAAGTAGGGTATTTTTATATACTGGAATTATGGGGACTTTCCATAATGGGAATATCATGTGTTCATCTATTATATAAAGTCTGAAATTGTACTCAAGGGACATGCTTGTATCCTGTAAGATGTAACCTGAAAATTGTATAAAAGACGGCGAGAAAGGATGGTAATTGCTCCCTCACTTTGGGGGGGACCTTTGCAAAGAAATAATTAAATAAACTGTATTCTTGTCTTATCTCACAACTCTCTGTCAATTATTTTCTGGGTACAGGCATTTCCTGTGTATCACAACCTAGGATCAAACTCATAAGCCTCCTGATTGTGAGGCGAGAGCTCCACCTCTAGGCCACTGCACCACTATGGATCCACAGCATTGAATCCATTTCTTTAACAACTGGATTTATACTTTTTGTGGAACTATTTTTTTTATTGATTAGACTTGTAACTATAACGTGCTTCATTTGGTTTTTTTTTTTGCTTCAGGTGTGGCAATTCAATCAATTATAGCTTAGTAATTGTGGTACTGGGATTTCACAGTTACAACCTCAGGGTAACAGTAACAGAGTTGGAAGGGACCTTAAAGGTCATCTAGCCCAACCCCCTGCTCGCGCAGGAGACCTGTACTAGGGATTCAAACCGCCGAACTGCCAACCTTTCTGATCGACAAGCTCAGTGTCTTAGCCACTGAGCCACCTAGTCAGGCTGGCATGTGTAATGCCAGCTAATGATGGTTTATTCAACAAGCCATGGATAAACAAAACCATGATTTACTGGAATTCATCAATCCAGGAATAAGATATGACTGTCATGAGGTAGCATAGACTCTGAAGTCTCCAATTAAAGGCCCAGAACTTCTTATAACCAGGAAAAAGGGTCCAGGCCAGGGACCAAGAACTGATATGGAGCCAATAAAATGGCTGATTTGATTCTGTTGTTGCTACCATGGAGAGTAAGATGGGAGGTTTTGATGGGCTTTTATTAGGGAGTTTTAAATGTTACAAGCCGCCCAGAATCACCTACATGTGGGAATTTGGCAGCTATATAAACTGTTTAAATGAATACATAAATAACAAGGGAGACTAATAAAGAATGATGCTTCCTTTACCATGTTTCTCAGTTTTGGCATCTTCGGGAACAGGGTTTTCTCTCTCAGAGTTCCTAGCACAGAGAAAAGAGAGTACACACGCATTCAGCAAAGAACAGATGCGTTCCCCCCCCCATCACTTCTTCTGCATCATCCCAGCTTTTTATAGGTGGCTCATAATTATAATAATTTCATGTGAGCAGAAGCCTAGGAAAGACTGGGAAGTTTGTGGCATTGGGATAGTCACTGTTGGGATGACTTCCTTC